GCCCCCCCCCTCTCGAGCCCCTCCAGCGTGGCTTGAGGAGGCAGAACGGGGGTAATTTGAACGATTCTATTGCGTGGCTCAGGCCAACGCTCTCTCTTCGTACCCTGCCTGCCTATGGGCGCGCCTCGTCGCCCTGCTCGCGGCTCGAGGGTTGGGCCCGCCAGGCCTCCCCTTTCCTTTCGGGCGCGAGAGCGGCCGCCGCCGACGACGCCGCCGCGGGGGGGGCAGCCTCTGGAGCCCCCAGCGGCGGCGACGCGCGCGGCCTGCGCCCGCTAGTCCCGCGGGGGCTCCGGGCCAGGAGCGTTCTGTTCCCGAGTTCCGCCGGGGCCGCGCGCGCTGACGTTAGGGTCACCGCTGACCCCCCCCCGCTCCGCGGGAACGGAGTTCGCGGGGGGCGGCGCCGGTCCTTCGGCCCCCCTGCGCCCGTCGCTCCCCGAGCGCAGCGGGCGTCCGAGCGGGCGGGCGGCGGCTCGCGCATGGCAGGGGGCGTCGCCGTCGTGGCGGGCGGCCGAGAGGCCCCCCCGCGGCCCGCGAGCAGCAGTGGTCAGCGCATCAACGCCCGAGCTGCTCAGCTGCAGGATGCGCGGGCTGCGCTGCATGTCGCCGACGGAGCGGGCCGCGGGGCCATCGAAGCGGCGCTCCGTCGTGCGGCGCGAGACTGCCATCCAGACAGAGGAGCGGCGTCTCTCTCTCGGCCAGCGAAGCCGAGGAGCGTAAGCTGCGCTTCAAGCGGCTGTGCAACGCCAAGTTGCTGCTGTTCAGCTACGAGGGCGGCCGCGCCGCTCCGGGCGCCCAGAGCTCCCGTCGGGGGGGGGCGGCTGCGCAGGCCCTCGCCCGTGCCGAGGGCCGCGGCAAGGGGGCGCATAAAGGCAGAACTACTGCTGGCCACGCCTTTGTGCTCTTCGCCCCCGACGCAGCGAGACCCCCGCGCCGCCGATCGAGAGGCTTCTCGAGCGCTGGGCCGACTGGCATGAGTCCCTCCAGCGAGGGCGTTGCGCCGTCGCAGTTTGTGTGTGTGTGTGTGTGTGTGTGTGTGTGTGTTTGTCGTGCCATCGTTGCACAGCCAATCGGCGGGCCGCCGGCTGGCCGCGCGGGGCCTCCGTCTAAGCGTCGCAGGCGTGCTGTCCTCCTGCCGACGTCGAAGGCTCCTTCTGCAGCTTCCTCTGATGGTGCTCCCGCCCTGCTTCGCGCGCCGATGCAGTCGCCTCCGCGCCGCGACGAATCGCCAGGGCCGGCAGCCCTTCCAGCCGCCGCTTCTTCGGCGCTTGGCTGGCGGCTGGAAGTGGCGGGCGAGCTTCTGACCGTCGTGCATTCTGCAGATGATCGGAGAGATCTGTTGATGGAGGTGTGTGCCCTCTCTTGGAGACGGGGTGGCAGCTGCCCACGAATGCCGCCGCTCCCCCACAAGGCTGACTGGGTACCCTCAGATTGACGAGAAGGCGGTCGGAGGGATCAGGGGCATCGGCTTGGGCAGCGACGTCGCCCAGCGACGTCGCGCGGCCAGCGTGGCCGGCGCGTGCGACTTGTTCGCGCAACTCTCCGAGAATACCGAGCTGCTCCCGCCACGCCTGTGGCGCAACGAGGAGGCGCCCGCGGATCTGCTCGACGGATGCCGAGCCATCTGCAGCGGTGCCCCGCCCGACCTCTCTGTCGGGCATGTCGCAGCGGCGGGGCGCTGCCGAGATGGGGGCGAAGCTGCTCGGCCGCGATCGCGCGGCGCGCCCCGCTGCTCCGCCTGCCCTGGGCAGACGTCGAGAGCAGGGCGCTCTGCGCGCCCTCGGAGATCGAGGCGATCGCGCGGGGCGTCGCCCACGCGACGGACGACTCTTTCGCAGAGGCGCGCTCTGAGACCGCGTCTCGGTCAGGAGTCGACGAGGGGCGGCTGCCGCCGTACTTCGCGTCGCGCGAGCGGCGCGCGGCCTTCTCGACGGGCCGCGTGGCCTTGCGGAGCAGCAGAGGCCCCGCGCTTGCCCTGCTGCTCTGGTGCGCGTGCGGGCTGGTGCGTGTGCGGTCTGCGCGTGCACGCTGCCGCTGGGGGTCCTCCTGCCGCGGCGGCCGCCGCCGCGCCCGCTCGTCACGGGCTTAGCGCCGTGCGGCCCCGCGCCCCTCGCGCGCCTTTCGTTTGGGATTCCCACTTGACTCCCGGGCGCCTCGGCCGCAGATCCTGATCGATGCGTTCGAGCTGTGGGTTGTCGAGCGCGCAGGAGTGGCACCGACCGCGCTCCACCGAAGTGGCGTGCTCCTGGCGCGAGCGCAAGCCACCTTCGGAGCATGGTTGCACGACGCTGGTTTCCTGCATTGCATCCTTGTGCATGCCCTGCTGGGCGTCCAGTCAGCGCGTCCCCGCTGGAAGGCGCCCCTCACAGAAGCTTGGGACGTGGCCAAACAGAACGAGATTGCAGATCTGCCCAGGCTTCGTCCACCATTCCCTCGCGCACTCTTGCGCGCGATGGTTGGCCTCTGCCTCATCTGGGACTGGCCGGACATGGCCGCCCTGCTGCTGCTCGTTTTCATTATGTTATTGCGCCCAGGGGATCTCACGAGGGCAAGAGGGTGCGACCTTTCCTTGCTGCCGGACCGTCTCGAGCCGACAGGCGGCTCCTTTCTGGCCATCGCGGCGTCGAAGACCCGTCGCTCCTACCTCGCTCAGCTCGCGAGGTGTTCGGATCGTCGGTCAGTGGGCCTGTTCGAATTGTGTTTTTGGACATCTCGCTTCCACCGATCCGCTCGCCCCCTTCGGGGCTAGCGGCTTCCGTGCTCGGTGGAACCACTTGATTCGGCGTTGGGCATCCCGCTCGGCAAAGCCACCGCTGGTCTGAATTTGACCCTTGCTTGTCTGCGGGGTTCAGGTGCTACTGACTTCTACATGGCTACAGAAGACGCCCCTCGCGTCTTCTGGCGAGGTAGTTGGCCCCTAGCCTCGAGTGCTGAGCGCTACCTCCAAGCTGCTGCTGCTTCGGCTGCCCTCGCGTCTCTCTCTGAGGCCGCCAGGACATCAACAACAACAACAACAACAACCGCCAGTTGTTGCTTGCTTATATATTTTCTGCTTGCTGGGTCGTCAGCCTGGTCAGTCCAACTCGTGGCCGCCCGCCAAAACCTTGTCGCTCCGCACGGGCTTTTAGCCTGGGCTTGGGCCTGGCTGCGACGCCTTTCGGCGGCCAGGGGCCCCGGCCCTGAGCGCGGCGCGTCGGCCCCCTCGCGCCCAGCGGCGGGTCTGCCCCGCCGTCGCGCGCGGAGGCGCCGGCACGCGCGCGCGGAGACCGCTCGCCAGGGCGGAGCGAGAGAATGCTCTTCCTCTTCCTTTTTTTCTGATAGTTGTTACACATCTGGCGCGCCGCTTCTCTGATACACGCTGCGTGGAGCTCGCGGGTCATCGTCGTTCGGTGCAGGGGGAAAGAAAACTACCAAGTGGACAGCGTGGAAGGCCGCGAGCTCCCCTCGCACGCTGCTCTCGGGGACGGCGGGGGGCCGGACGTTAGAGGGGGCCGGGGGGCGAAGGGAAAGCGGACGAGCACGTGGGAGTGCGAATGACCGTGGACACGTTGGTTTAGTCCCCCCAGGGCCTCCTCGCCCAGGCCGAGGTGCATCCCCCGGGTTGCTCCCGCTCGCCAACTCCCTGAGAAAATCGCGCCTCTGACAAGCAACCGCGTCCTGCGCGACGCACCGTCCGAGTCCAAAGGCGTCGGGGAAGGTTTTTGCTGCGCTCGGGGCCATAGCGCGCGTGATGCCCCCCTCCTCCCCTCACCACCTCCCCCTGGCCTCACGATGTCGCGTCCCCCCCTCCACCCCCTCATTGCGTCCCGGGCACTGCCTGCGCCAGTGCGTCGAGGACCACAGGTTGTGGCGCTGGATTCACACGTCGGGCAGGTTGGGGGGCATTACGTTATGCCTCCCCTGGGCCTCTCTTTCGCCCGGTCACGGCGGCGGCGATTACAAACGGGGCTGAAGCTGGGCCGTTCGGCAGGTTGGGCCCGATCGTATGGCCCGCGTTGCAGGGCATTCCTGGGCGGGATCCGACTCTATCGGGCGGGCTTGCAGGGTGCTCGAGGGCTCGCGAGCTCTGTGCAGTAGTGGTCTCAGCTGGTGCTTATCTTGTGCTTCTTCGGTAGCGCCTGACAGTGCCATTCGGGATCTCATGCCGTGCTCGTCTGGTGGTCGCCTGGGACATGCTGGGCGATCATAGAACGCACGCCCAGTGGCCCCATGTTTGGTCAAGAGCTTGTCTACATCTCGCGTGGGTCTCTCTTGATGTTCACGCTGGTGTGCAATCCGTCGACCGCCAGGCCAGCGCTCATAAAAGGCCCGTTCCTGTGGTGGTACTTGTGGGGGTGGTGGTGGGTTCGTCCCGTGGATTTGCATGCACAGTGGCATAGCAGTTGCTTCTCATGCTTGGGGGTTCCACTTGTGCGCCTTCGGTCTAACTTACCAGCGTGATGCACGGATTTGCTTTCACTTCTCCTCCTCCTCCGCTGTTGCCCTGTCAACACAGCCGCCTGCCACCGCATTGCACCCTCGTGGCGGGACTTTCTCTCGTCATCCTTCCTCAGAATCGCTCCAGCCGCAATCTCACCGTTGACGCTCTACCCCCCCGCCCCTTGGGGCACAGTCTCCTGACACTTTGGATTGGCCCTTCTGTGCTCTCGCGCCGCGCGCTCTGGCTGAGATCGGCGGCGAGCCCGGGGGCACGTGAGAAGGAGGAGGCCTTCTCAGAAGGCTCGGACGTTCCCAGGCCTTCAGAGAAGTTGTCGCAGCCTTTCCCGAAGACAGCGAAGAACTTCTCAGAAGGCTTGCGCGCTTCTGAGGAGCCATCCAGCCTTTTGTTGAGAAGGCCTTCTCCTTCTCGCTTCCCTCCCTCGCTCGCCGCGACGAGAGGGGGTCGCTCTGCCCGCCCACTCTGGAGCGTGCTCGTCTCGTGCGGCTTCGCTCGCACGTCTTCGCGCACGGTGGCCTTCATCCTGTGTTGCTCTTGCCACCCCGCCGGCTGCCGTGCGGCCGAGGTCGTTGACCGCGCCCGCGCTGAGTGGGCCCAAGGCTGGGGAAACCCAAAGGTACCGATACCGCCACGGTCGGACCGAGGTCTAGGATCGATGTCGGCTCGGGGAGGGTACCCTTATATTCTTCGTGCCTGTTCGGTGTTCTCGTGCATCCTCCTGGGGGAGGGAGGATACCCTCGAATGTTCTTCAGCTTGGCCAGCGGAGGGTCTCCTTTTCTTGAAGGATGTCCTTCTGTCCTGGGTCAGGCCGTGCTTCCCGGACCTCTTCAGGGGTGCGTTCTGACCAGGCCTTCGAGGGGCGACTCCAGCGACGGCGACGGGGGCCTTCCAGGAGGCCCCAGCAGGGGAAAAGCGAGGGGAGGCTAACGGTATGGGTCTTCTTTCCTCCTCCGCAAGGCCACAGCCAGAGCGGTCACCGGCAGAGCCCCCCAGCAGCCCCTCCACGGCAGAGCGCTCCCCCGCGCCGCCGACGTCGCTGGTGGAGCCGACCTGTGCATCGGCGGCGGCGCCGTCGGCGCCCCACGGGCAGCAAAGTGGCCCGGGTGGAGGCCGTGTCCGGGGTCAGGATCGTTGATGACCGACCGCCCATCTGAACGGGGCCCATCGACCGATTCAGCCACGCGCAGAGGGGGTTGGAGGGAGGGGGGGAGGCTTGTTAGAAGCACCCCTGCTTCTCAGAAGGCGCGGGCCTTGTCTGAAGATGTAGGGCCAGGGCCTCCTAAGACGCCGTCTCCTTCCAAGAAGCCTTCCCCTCCACCTACCTCCCTGTGCGCGCTGCCAATCGTTGATTGACCGACCGCCGATCCGAACGGGGCCCATCGACCGATCTCGCGGGGTTACGGTCAGGAACTTCGGCTCAGCGTGTCGCTCCGCCTGTTCTGGCTCACCACGCTGCGGCGCGGCACGCTAGCCATTTCCGAGTCCCGAGGCGTCAACGTCCCGTCTTTTCAGATCCTGCAGCCCGACGGAGCGGAGCGACACGCTTTCCGCTTGCAAGGCATAGCGTGTCGTCAGCGCCGCCGCGGCAACACGCCAAGCAAAGGTTCCTGACTGACTGCGACCAGGGAGCATTTGTGTGAGCTAGGGGCTCTGAGTGCTGCTGTGCGGCGCCAAGGCGCGGTCGTTGTCGCGCTGGGCCTGGCGAAATGGCGCACGGCGCAGCCTTCCGGCGCGAATCCAGCGTCTCCAGCTTGCGAAGCTCTACCCACGTCGGAAGCCAGCGTCTCCGTTCTCTCACGCACAGCTCTCGTCGGCTCGTTGGGAGATCGGTCCTATGGGGGCGTCAGTGACGCTCCCCAAGCAGGGCGGACTCCTGTGTTGTAGCACACCGCCTCCCGCAGGAAGTGCCTCCTGGTGCTGCCCTCGCTTCCCTACCCTCGGCGGCCGCTCCTCGCTGGGAGCCTTGGCGTGGCGGCCGGCCCAGGAGCATTCCAGCGAGGATCCCTGTGTGCCTCGCGAGGCGGGGGCTGGCTGTGGTGAGTGGCACTGCGTGCCTCACGAGGGAACGCTCCGGCGCGGGTTGGGCGGCCCCTCTGTTACCTCGCCGCGAGTTCTGTGCGGAGGTGTGGACCTTCGGGCCACACCACCCCCTCCATGCCTTGCCGGGGAAGGAGAGACCCAGCGCATATGACCCCCCTCCAAACCATACCGATGCGTGAACCCTGGAGCACAGACCGCCCTCTGCATCAGACGCTTCCGGGCCGGGCTCTGTGGCCCGCTGTGTGATCAGGGCTGTGTGGATCAGGAAGTATAGCCCACCTGAGGGGCAGAATCCAGCCCGATCCAGCCCCTGACTGCGCCGCTTCCTGGAGGAGGAAGAGGTGGAGCTGGAGGAGAAGGAGGAGGAGGAGGAGGAGGAGGAGGAGGAGGAGGAGGAGGAGGAGGAGGAGGAGGAGGAGGAGAAGGAGGAGCTGGAGGGGCTGGAGGAGGAGGAGGAGGAGGAGGAGGAGGAGGAGAAGGAGGAGCTGGATGATCCTGAGCGCCGACTCGATCCAGCCCCAGGCTGCGCCGCTTTCTGGACCAGGCGGGGTGCAGGTAAGCAGTCTGGGAGAGGTGGGGCTGGCACCTCTGGGCAGCATCGGCTGTCGCCCCTGCGGGCCCAGATCCAGACTTGAGCTGGGAGTCTCGGCCACACATGAGATCGGGGGCGGCAAAGAGGGGGATGATGACTACGTAGGGGTGGGCGGATATCATGGCGGGGGCCATGACATTTCCCCAGATTTCATGGCGCCTCTTCTAATTTCATTACGTTCCTGGCCCCCCCCCCAAAGACCGCGCACACGCCGCCGGCGCCATGCTTTGCAGCCCCCCCCCCCCCCCCCCTCTTGGACGCCCCCCTCCTTGCCGCCCCCGATGAGAGTGACCCTTTGCGGGAGTGACCTCTGCTTCGTGCTCACGGGACCCCCACACCACTGGCCTTGCGCGCTTGGACTGGGACTGCCCGCGGCTCCCAGAAGCCGTGCATCAGAGGTCACTCTTGCCTGCTCCGAGTTTCTTACTAAGCGTCGGGAGGGCGTCACCCCCGCCGACAGCCCCACATCGACCCCCGTCGCGGGCAGCCACCGCGCGCCGAAAGCGCTGCGACTCCCGTCGCGGCGCGACGACGAGGCGAGGTTGACCCCCGTGGTGGGGGTTACCCTTCGGCGCTTATGAAGAAACCCAGAGTAGGGACACCCTTGCGTGTAGCCGAGAGTCTGGGTCTGTCCTGGACACCAGAGTGCTGAAGTACATGGGCGACCTTCGGGAAGCATTCGTCGAGATCCGAAAAGTCCTGGAAGGTAGCAGGAGCAACCATTCCCGCATGCCGTCGCAGCATGAACAGATCTGAGGATCTCGGAGGAACCCAGAAGGTCTTGGAGGACCTTGAACGACGGGCCCCAGAGGACACCACTTAGAACAGCAGGGATGCGTCCATGGTTTTCGCTATGGGCTTGCCGATGGTCGGCACGCCGTATACCCCTCCTACTTAATTCTGATGCCCCCCGTCGGATACGGCATTCCCGTTCGCTCGGAGCAACATCATTCTAGCGCGATCCCAACTAGGAGCTTTCCTGTACGAAGGGAGGTTAAAGACACCATGCACGTGCGGTGCAATGCAGTTCGAAGCAATGCAATGCAAACTAATTGAAACCAAGGTAGAGCAACGCAGTGCCCATCGAGCAAATCAGTGTAATTCAATTTGATTTCAAACTCAAAGCGATGCAACACACTGCAGTACAGTTTCAGTGCAGGGGAACTCGAGGCAACTACAACAAATTCAGGGTCTTGTGCAGTATCGGAGTTCAATGAAACAAAGTTCATTGCAAAGTCAAGCGTAGGGGATCCTTTGAGGGCTAGTGTGTTCGGATGAAACCAAAGAACTTGTAGGAGTTTGAGGCGTCCAAGGAACCCTGCCCCAAGAGCCAATCGCCACCTGTCTCCCCGCAGAGAGAAGTCAAGATTGGGAACACTAGCAACCAGACCTTCAGCAAGCATAACGAATAGATCCTGAAGAGCCGTTCGAATGGAGAAGAGATGGCAAACTTCACCTGGATCCACTGGGATTGCCAGGGATCTCGACTTGCTCATCGCGAGGCTGCCATCCCGCGAGGGCCACCCCACCCGGATGGCCCATGGCACCTCCGTTCCTGGCCATGGTCCATACAATCATTTCGGAGGTCCAGCAATTTGCTATCACTCTCCGTTGGTTTATCCTGTAGGCATGTCTTTGCCTTTGTTCTGTATTCAGCTTGTCAGTCAACTTGTGGTCGTGGTTGTCCTTAGCTTGTTCTTTAGCTTGATCTTTGTTCGTTACTTGCCTTGCCAGCATACTTGTCATCTTATCAACTTATCGCATGCCTCTAGCTTGCGGCTGAGCTTGCCCCCGAGCTTTCACGTCGGCTTGCGATTGACCTGTCTTCAGCTCAGCCCTCGCCCGCCCTCAGCTTGACTCTAGCCTGCTCAGCGTTGCGAAACCCTTGCACTCAAGTTCATTGCGGTTTGGGATTGCTTCAAGTTTTAGGTACATGCTTGGCTTCGACATACATGCTTTTTATAATTGCGCGCAGTCTGAGTTCTGCTCTATGCAGGTACTGCGTCAAGGGGAGCGCCACCTGGAAGGTCTGCGGCGCATGCATTGCCATTGTAGCCTTAAACTGGTGCCTGCGGCGAGTTCTATCAGCGGACAGATGGCCATAACATGCGACGGTTCATCCCCCCATGGCCCAGGGGGCCCCAGCACGTAGCATCTTTCTTTTTGGGCCTCAAGAGCATGCTTTGGGCCACTGGGAGCCGTTTGTGAGCTCTTGGGCGTTGCTCAGGTAAGTCTTGGTCGCAATTCCTTGCCGATTCTTGGGGCGAGAAAGAGTGGCAGGCAGGAAGCATGGACACACCTACGGCTCTCTCAGGGGTTTCCTGTACGGTCTATCTGGGCTCCTCCCTGGCGCCTCTAATGAGTTTCCTCAAAATCCTCTCTGAGAAATCTCGGGCCATCTTTGCGACCATGGAGGCGTGCTCTTGCCCTCGTAGGCTTTGGAGACTGCCGCGGGACCGTCTGGGCGCCCAGGTATCCTTTTCAGGTGGATGCGAGAAAACACGCGACGCCTTGAGACAAGAGGGTGTGCGGTTCTCCAGAAAATGACGCCCGCCCAGCCAGTATCTGGACTTTCTGAAAGTTGCGCTGCGTGCCAGGAGGCTCGGTGGCAGATCTAGACCGGAGGTATCCATGCCATGCCCGGGCTGCACCCATCTCTCCGACGTGGTCAGAGTCCGGCACGTAGCAGGTTTAGCCGTTCGGTCGAACAACGGGAAGCGCCTCTGGCTCGCATCATTGATTTTGGGGTATTACGAAAGTTTCCTCGAACTAAAAGATGCGGATCGCACCGGGTACCTCGCTGGCGGATGACGGGAGACGTCTTTGTAAGGCCCTGGCTCGAGCGATTTTACGTGACAACAGTGTGTCCGCGGGGTCGCAAGCCCTCGCACAGCATGCTTTCAGGTCGATGGTGAGACATGTTTCGTTTCTCCTTCTCCTATGCGCTATCGCCGGGCTGGCCATACCACGCTGGAGGGCCGAGCGTTCGGTGGCGGCACGATCACCTTGGAGCCCTATGCCGTCCAACGCCGAGCAGGACGGGGGCGAGCCAGTGCACAGCACAAGGAGCTATCACCCCGCCTGCCGAACCATCCTCGCCAGAGGGCGGGTGTGGTTCAAGGGAGTCCTATATGAGGGCCAGGATGCAGTGGCGAAGCTATGCCGATTAGCGGCACATCACGGCGTGGTGTTCCCACCATTTTTCCACCTAGCCACTACGTCCCACGACGCGGGTCTGTCAATATGTGGTCTTGCAGCGCTGAGACCATGTTGATGCCTGGCAGACTGGGCGAAGTTCTCCGACACGCGGCGGCTGCCCGAATAGACGTCCTGGCCTTGCCTGGCACCACGCTTTCCATATAACAGCAGTGGGAGAATGCAAAATACATCATCGTTCTTTCTCCTCGCTCAGCCCGACATTTGAATGATAGAGTTGCCCTTAC